GTGTGTGTGTGTGTGTGTGTGTGTGAGAGAGAGATTGTCCGACCATCTCATTGGAAAGTCAATTTAACTTTGCTCTGAAAGTCAAACATTACAGCTGTTGTTAATTTATTTTCTTGTTTAATATGAAATTGGCAACAAACCAGGGATTCCTCTGCTCTGTGTGTGTGTGTGTGTAGGTGTGTGTGTGTGTGTGTGTGTGTGTAGGCTTAGAGCCTCTGCCCAGTCCTTCTCGCTGCTGGAAGGTTGGATTAAAGGAATAAACGACAACCTCCAGACTGCTGGCCAAACCCTGCAGAGGGCTGAGCAAAGAAGAAAGGGAGTGACTGTGTAGGTGAGTGTTCGAGAAGCAAAGGAATTTGTATGTGTGTGACAGAGAGTGAAGAGCGGGAATCTGTACTGTTACGCAAACAGCCAATTCAATTAGTGGTAGGTGTAAGAACATCAGAGAGAGAGACAGAGTGCAGGAGCGAGAGAGGATGTTCGAAAGGGTAAGAGAGAAAGACAGAGTGCAGGAGCGAGAGAGGATGTGCGAAAGGGAGAGAGAGAGAGAGAGAGAGAGAGAGAGAGAGAGAGAGAGAGAGAGAGAGAGGGGGCACCCATTTTGACAAAATGTCAGAGGCAATTTATCACGACCTAACAAAAGACCCCAGGGATAAAGTAAGAGAGAGAGAGGAGGAAGGTGTGAGGACTGAAGGAAAGGAGGGAGAGGAGGCAGGAGTGAAGCATTACTCTGGGAAAGAATCATCTACAGGATAACAGAAAGGAAGTAAGGAAAAGGAAATGAGGGATCTGTATTAAGAGAAAGAAAGGCTGCAGGGGAGGATGTAAAGTTAGAAAAGGCACCCTGTGGAAGCCCTACGCAGGAACAATGTAACGCACCAGCATGAAGGTAAACATTGCATTCATTGGACAACTCGGCAGAGTAATGGAGGTTTAATTGAAGAAAGAAAAATCTTTGAAAAAACATATTTCGCCGTGATGTGAGACTTGTAATAATATAGTGACTGTTCTCTTATAAAACTTTATAAAACATGGGGTGCCAAAGGTTCCAATCAAGCCTGCTGGAAGATTTTACAAAGCCCAAAAAAGCTGCATAGAAGGGATTTTTATGTTTAGGTTTACAATCTTCTTATGGCCTGCCATAACTGAGTAACTGCATGTGGGAAAACAAAAATATTCTCAAGCTGTTCAGCATCAGGTTTGTAAAATAATTATTAGGTTTTAATTACAGATTAATTGTGTGTGTTTGTTGCAGTAAAAGCACAAAAAACAGTATAACACAATAAAAAGATTTTACATTAAATTATGTCCTATGTTTTATTTTCTTTAGTTCATTCATATCCCGTAACAGCTAACTGGTGCCTATTTAATAGTAAAAGTATCTGTTCTTGCTCTGATATTACATGACAGACTGCAGAAAGCACTAGACTGAGAGACACTTCTTTCTGTTACACACAACAAAGTTTACAGCTCGTCACATAAATGAGAGCCAGTCAGCCTAAAGCAGGCTCTTTCCCTCTGAAATGAGATGTTTGGGCCGATTAACTCTGACAGAGCCGCTCCACTAAACCTGCATCATTTCTCTGCTTAAACTCCTTCAGTAAGACTTTTACTGTTCAGCGCAGAGATGTTTTACAATGTAACCGCCTGAAGTCAGAGAAAAGGAGGCATGAAAGTAAAAGCAGGGAAGATGCACTCATACATGGCTTCATTGATTAACCCTCTAAGGTCTAACTAAACCTAACCAATCACTATGTGTATTTTTT